AAAAGCTTGGGCAATATGAAGTACACTGCTGTTTTTCCTACTGTGCCTGCCAAAAGCAGGCTTCAGGCCAGTATTCCAAACCAGTGTTACCCCAATAGACATGCAGAAGCAGCGAAAATGCTTACTTGGCCAACAAACAGCTTGATGGCATCTACATCTTTGACCGGGAAACCGTTGCTATCAGTTGATGATGTACGGCTCATGCCGTTTGTCCCGTTCATTCTGCTTCCCATCATTGATGCTTGGTCATTTTGAAGCGCGCAAAGTGTTTTTTTTTTCTTTTTGTACGGGGTCAAGAGAGAAATTAGTAACAAAAAGTCACGGGTTCAAGGATGTTCGTTGCTGGATTATACAGTAATTGGGGGAAAAAGTCTTATCGACAAAATATGGCAAAATTCTTTAAACAAAGAACAAATTCAGTGATAGCACAGAAATTTCTTTAGAAAATCCGGAAAATATTTTGCAGTTAGTCCCGGACTTCAGCACCGAAATTCAATTCCGATTAATTCTATTCAGTTAGCACAGACACAAACAATCCAAAAAAACGAGAATTTATGTACACATTACCACTTCTGTCTTCGATTGTGCACATTCTTGTGCAAATTTTTTTCTTTTTTTTTGGAATATTACAGCGACAAATATTACTTTAGCAACAGCTTGGAGCAATACAAAATCAAATAAAGCAGCTAGAGCAGGAATATTTCGTTAGAAATGGGCACAGTACACATAAGCCTTATTCCAGGAGAGATAATATAAAGCAGTTACCGAAGAATACAAACCAAGCCAGTAAAAGCGTCCAAAAGAGTAGCTCCTATGCAAATTTTCAGGCGGGGGAATATCCGGGAAATGCCACAACAATCACCAGAGCACGAAAAAACCACCATACACACACAGACACACTACAAGATTATAAAGGAGGGGAGGAGAAGGAGGGTACACAGCAACGACGACGACGACGACGAAGACGACGACGACGAGGACGACAACGACGACGACTGCTGCTGTTGCTCCTGCTTAAAGCCTGAAAATGCTTTTCGTTTTACATGAGAGATGAGGGAAAGAAGGCAAGCGTGTGTGTATGTGAGTGAGTGTTATATATAGTTGGCAATACAAGCTGCTTCCAACTGCTTTACTCGTCCCCCTATATAAGCTTGGATGGGTCACATAGCCAATATCGCTTGCCTGGATGAGGACAGGGAGAGGCAGACGGAGAGGGTGCCCAGGGCGCCAGTGAGAATGCGCATGAATGAGTCTCTGTCCTCGCGCTCGCATCCCCTGGATTTGATGTCTCATTAATCTTGAAATGTCTGAGCGAATAAGCCCAGCAGCCTCTACCGCACTGCGCCGCTTGGTTTGGGTTCCCCTCTGGCACATGCATGTAGGAGGGCTTCATCAGCTTGGCTGGCTACAGCAGACAGCCAGCCAAGCTTCGAACCTCAAAGAAGGCACGAAAAGAAGGAGGAGGGCGAGGCTTGGCGAATATGGTCGATAAAAGCCTCCAAGCAACTGAGGACAGCAATATGCAAAACACACAACAACCTGCATCCAAGAGGCAGAGCTTTTGATGCTAGCTATGCATATAACTGAGGTTCATTCATGCGCAGCTACTGCTAGCCGCCTAACAATTCGATTTCTTGCTTGCCCAGTAAAACAGGCAGCTGCGAGACGGAGTTGAGGGACGGCTGGGAGGGAAACCACACTGAGGAGGAGGGCACAATTAGTGGCATCGCAGTGAAGCAGCACACATGCACATCTGCGCCTTCATGCGCTTTTCAATTTTCCTCGTCAACAACCAACCACTGCACCTCATTTCTGGAAATCGGGACAAGCATCACGTAGCGGGCAAGCAAAATTTCCAAACCGCACCTGTTGCTGACTGAGTCTCCCGATGAAGCTTTCTTAGATTTGGAAACCTTAAATATTAATAAAGCGCCGATAAGCTATTTTCTTTGGGCGCCAAAATCGAGATATAGCCATATCCGAGGCTAAAATTTCCAAGCCGTACCTGTTGCTGACTGAGTCTGCCGATGAAGTTTTTTCAGTTGCGGAAACCTTAAATATTAATAAAATGCTGATGATTCTGCAGGTGCCGAAGTCGAAATATAGCCATATCCGAAGCTATTAAGCAGCAATCGCTTTTACTTTTGGTAAAATAACAAAAATCAAAAAAAGAAAAAATTCGCAAGAATTATAAAATTAAAAGCAAAGATTTTTAGGAGAAATCAGCACAGCCTCTGAGCTATCAGTTTTGGTATTCCATGTTAGTGATTTTACCGGGATGCTGGGGGAAAAGGGGGAAGGGAAGAGGGGGAGGAGCGGGGAAAACTATGACAAATCTTTCGATTCAAAGAGTATTCCTGTGAAGAATTATAAATAAATTTTGATGATTGAACAACGTGTTCAAAAATTATCCAAAAATGCATGGCTTATCGAATTCATGATGGAGATCGCAATTTTTTTTTGTCCCATCTGACTATTTCAGCCTGTTTCCCTCAAACTCAGGCTTAGTTTGATGAAAAAAAAAAAAAAAAAAAACTATTCGTTGGCCATTTTTGCTGTGCAATCGTATTTGAATCCACTAATTTCACCCTAATCCATCCGTTGTTTCAACTGGCCGATGAGAATGTTTCTTTCTTCAATCAAACTGCTTATTAAAGTTTCTCTTAGCTTATTAAAATTTCCACTCAGATAGAGATACGGTACATTTCTTTACACTTCATTGCCCCTTCTCCTAAATGCTCCTCCTTTGCCTCAGCCACAATACCCTCTTGGCTTGACAGGCAGCTCTTCGTTCTTGAAATACATACCTCGATTTGATGTTAACCTCTACCTGTCTGACCTTTTCCATCATTTACTTCCTGGTCGATATTACTCATCCATGATACATATTGTCGCGGAAGTGATAACTTTTGATTTTTTTAAATAACTTCTGGCGCAGTTCTTTCATTGACGTAAATGACTCTCTCGACTTAGAGACTTATTTATTTTAATGAAAGAATTATGCCAGAACATTTCTTACCTATTACAAATATTTCCTTGGTCCTCTTTCCCCTACTTACTTTGCTTTTTCTTCGGTTTCTTCCCTTCTTTATCGTTTCTACTTTATTACTTTCTCTTCAATCTTTATTAGAATATAAACAAAAAACTGTCACTTCTTTGAACAGATAAACTTTTCTTGAGGAAATTCTTCAGAAAGTCACATCACTAACGTCACATCACTCAAAAAGCTGGTCTCAAACCGCTCGTTCTTCATGCCATTTGTAAATAATTGGTCAACGCACGGGCTGCCGGTGCGAAGATGCGTTTTTTGCATAGTTCCAGACAGTTTTTGTCACTAGCTGCATCGGTTTTTTCGGTAAATCTTTCTAGCAAAACAAATTAAGACTAGCCGTCAAAACTGGCACGAAACACCCCCTTAAAATTTCAGCTTTCTAGCTTTCCCGGCTCCCGAGTTAGCAATTTACTGAAAAAAATTTTTCACGAGCTCGCACTCGGGTACCACGCATAACCGAGGGCTGGGTTTGAGCATAGCTGCAAAAAATGCATAAAAACTATTGTACGAATATGCTTAGTTCAGAAATGTGCCCTGTTAATTATAAACATTAATAGTTCGCCCTAAAATTTAGCTTTTCGATCGCAACTTTCTGGTGTTCTTGACTACTGAAACAGATATTTTGCTTTTCCAAGCGAAGAAGTCACAACGTCCTCCATATTTACTTTCCACGTGGAGCAATGTCATTTTAAAGTTTTTTTTTTTTTTAAACTTATATTTAATCCATTGCAAGCATATGAAGAAATTTTAACAAAAACAGGATTTTGTTTGCTATTCATGCATGCACTTGTAACTGCTTTCTACAGGTACCAAACGGTGTAAAAAAAAATTGAAAAAAATTTATGCTGCTTGAAAAATACAAACAAATGGCAGAAACTGAAGATGACATCACAAGGCGGAAAATATTACATGTTATCCGGCAAAATTTTGTGGACAATGCCATGGAGAAATATGCACTGCTTTCATTTCAGAGCTTAAAAAATTACTAGAAAAAAAAACCTTCCAAACGTTCTTATTTGAATGACTCGGTTTTGATTTTCTTTACTAAAATCTACGAAAAATTTGAAAAGAAAAAATCATGAATTCCAGAAAGTTTTGTTTCCAACGCAATAAAAAAAATATTCAAAAAGTTAGCTTCCGTAAAACTGGAGAAAAAATCAGAAACTATAAAGCTGTAAACTTTGGAGATATAGAAAATTTGAGGATATAGAGAAAATACAGAGAAATTTGAAAATACAAGCAGTATTTTCTTCTTTCATAAGATGTGAAAGAAGTCCGATATATTAGGATACAAAAAAATCTCGTAAAAAATTGACTCACTCAGAAACGATTCCCAGATTCCAAATATTTATCCAAAGATGAATATGTTAAAGCGAATTAACTATAGTGCATCTTCGATTAACCAAATCAAGTAATAAATTGGGCAAAAATTTCTGGAAAGCTAGGATTTAAGACATATAATACAGATGCAGTGCTGTAGCATACATGTCACATATAACACTTTTCAAAAACTGTCTATAAAATGCTCCAAAAAATGCAAATTCTAGATATAAATGTTTCAAAAAATTTCTGATTGGTCTCTTTTTAGCTTTTCTGGTTCTCGAGTTAGTGATTTTTTTTTCTGCCAAAATTTTCACGTTCCCCTACATGAGACTTGGGCGTATTTGGGTTGCAAAACTTGATTTTGTAGATAACCATAAATTACTTTGGTAAAACAAAATTTCTGAGTAAAAGACCCCAATAAAAAAGGAAGCATTGTTTCGAAGCATTTGCAGTTCTCTGGTATTAAAACACACGATGAGTTAGGGAGGGAGAAAAAAGCTAAAAAAAAAATTTACTAAGTACCAATCTGGCAAAATACCCCTCCATAATTTTGTTGTCAAAAGTCAAATAGCCGTCGAACGAGCAGTATATCACGAGGAACTAGTGTCACGCGTTTCCTGTGCTGAGTACAGAAGGAAGCATTTTCCAGAAATTGCACCATGAATGCTTCGGTTGCCTGAAAATTACAGTTAGTTTATGAATACCGCCAAATTTGCCTTTGTAACAGAAAAGTCTTGAATTATAGCGCTGAATAACTGTGCCCAGCCAAATTTTCTTGAAAATTCAATTAGAAAACTCCAACGTGTTTCAAAGGCAACAAAATTCACGAAATAGTGATGTTCAACATCTCCCGGAAACAAAAAAACGTCAAAATCGCGACTTTTCTGTGATCAACCACACGGTGGTCGAAGCAATAAGCAAAATTGTCAACTGCATGAAACCAGATCACGAATTATAGCGGTTCCAAGTATTTCAAATAT